CAGTTTGATAGGGTTCAGTCTCTCTTGCTTTCCCATTGGCACAGATAGTGATGTTTAAAGGGCAACTCAGAAGGAATCCGCTGGGTGTGGTCAGATACATCTTTAGGAAGCAAGAAATTCAGGCAGAGTGTTGGAATGGTTTTCCCTGCTCTTTCCAACACATCATACGATTCTCGCTTCCTTTCTACAGATTTATCCTGTGAACTGCATTGAGCTTAGTGAACCTGGTCTTTTATTTGCATTCTCAGCGTACCCTGACTGATGGAGAGAGGTGCTGGGTGACAAAAGCAAGCCAGACAGGTTAAGTACCTCTGATTCAGTGGGTGGATAATCTGCCCTGAACCCTGGAATTGGTAGAGCTGAGATCACACTCCTTCCCATGGGACTCTGCTTTGGGAAATAAAACAGGTGACAAACAGAATACTTAGACTCTGGCATCAACCACGCGGCACACTCTGTGCTCTTTGCATCCGGGTAGTAACAGAGGGTGATGCTCACAGGAGGCAGACCCAGCTAGAGTCTCTGGGGCCCTGCTGTGGCCTTTGTTAGCCAACAGAAGGACAATCCCATTGTTTCATTCATCTGCACATGCTTTTTCTTGCCAGTATGCATGCACTTTTGGTCCATTTTCTTTTCCTTCCTTCCTTCCATCCATCCATCCATCCATCCTTCCTTCCTTCCTTCTTTCTCTTTCCTTCCCTCCCTTCCTTTCTTCTTTCCTCCCTCCCTCCTTCCCTCCCTCCCTCCCTTTCTCCCTTCCATCATTTCTCTCTCTTACTCTCCCTCTTTCTTTCCTTTCCCCCCCAGTAGGACTGGATGAGACGATTTCTGTCCTGTGTCAGAAGTTCATCTTCACCAGATCCAGAGCAACCTCATTTCCCAGCTAGGTCATGACCCGAGGTGCTGAGAGTTAGAGCGTCAACACCATGGTCTAAGAGAGAGCACCATTCAGCCCATCATCATAGGATTTGGCTGCTTGCCCCCTAAAGGAGCACAAGCAGGAACATCTCTGTGTGTCTATTGTTGATCACACTGCCTTGGACTATGGCTGAGACAGCGGCCTGAAGCCAGAATGCAATGTGAGGCCCTGGTATGGACTAGAGCAAAGCCTGGGCTTCGGCAGGAATTTAAATCCTGAACTTGTAATTTTAAACTAGCACATTCAATGGCTCAGATGACCTTGGCTGTCCTAGTTTGGGGCTCTGAGCAGCTGACCCATGGGCCTCTGTGTGCATGTGTGCACATACGTGTGTGTTGTGTGCACATATAAATGTGTGCACCTAGTGTTGAGAACTGTCTCTTCATTGCCTTCCAGATACAATTCTCCTCCTTTCATTTCTTCTATAAACTTTTTTCAAGTAATACATTCTGGTTATGGTCTCCCTTCCCCCAGCTCCTGCGAGATTCCTTCTCCCTCCTTTTTGACAGGGGTCTCGCTGTGTAGTCCTGACTGGTCTGGAACTCTCTCTGTAGACCAGGCTGGCCTCAGACTTACAGAGCTCCTCCCGCTCCTGCCCTCCGTGTGCTGGGTACTGATACAATTACTCTGACCTTGACCTGTTCCGGTATTTTCTCCTCTCCTCACGCTTTCAGATGCATCCCTACAGCTGCACACGTGGAGAGCTTCGTGCTCAAGACCAGCCTTTCCATCTCCCCAGACCCCTGGTTCCTAGGAAACAATGCTTTGTTAGCTCACACTCAAGTTCAGATCGCACATTCCCTGGTCAGCACACTGACCCCTGTCTGTCCGTTGGAAGCAAATGGCACATGTGAAAAATCTCTCCCAGTGTCCTCAGGTTGAGCTCTCCGAGAACGCAGAAAAGCGTTTCTGGCCCAGCTCTTGCCCCACCTGCTACCCTTTGAAGGCTTGTTTACCCGTCTGAGAACCTGCCGGCAATCCAATTTGTGGTTCTTATGCAGAATAGAAACACGGGGCCTCTTATTAAAAAGTTATTAATAATTTCAAGACGGCAGCAGAAGACTAACCAGGTGTGACTCCCCTAGCAGTCTGACCCCTACAGTTGGCCTCGTCTCTGGCTGGTACATGGAGGTGGGCACCCTCCAGTCCGTGATGCTGGCCGCTCTGCAGACATCGGCTGAAGAAATGAATCAACACAAGAATAAGCTTGCTGAAAGTCAGGCACGTTATGAGAGACAGCGCAGGTTAACTGACGCCCCTCCTCAGTCGCCGCGGTGAGAATGAGGCGGTGTGCGGTCATTTGTACTAACAAACAATCACACCTGTGTACATGTAAGACCTCGCATCTTCAAAACATGAACTAATCCTGACAAAGGCACTGGTGAAACCGAAACCGAAGGAGAATGTGAGGCATGCAGACTTTAATTACCAATATTAAAATCTGGCACCCAGCTAACACTCCCCGTAGCAGGAAAGCCAACACGTTCCACGTCGCTCTCAGTCTAAAAAGTGGGGGACATGGCTCCTTATTTCTAACGTATCGGTGAAGAAGGAAGGAATGCTGTCTTCGGAGAAATCTGAAGATATGTGGTATGTGTGTGTTTGTGTGTGGTGTGTGTGTGGTGTGTGTGGTGGTGTATGCATGGTGTGTGTTTGGTGTATGTGACATGTGTGTGGTTTATGTGTGGTGTATGTGTGGTGTGTGTGTGGTGCATTGTGGTATGTGTGTAGTGTACGTGTTGTGTGTGTGTGGTATGTGTGGTGTATGTAGTGTACATGTGTGGTGTGTGTATGGTGTGTGTTGTGTGTGGGGGGGTGTGCATGCGCATGCCAAAGCATCTGAAGGAGATTTGTATTTACTCACGACTTCAGATCCCCAGATTTTAAGTTCACAAAGGTGGTCATGAGAACAGCATGGGTTCATTTTGAATAGAAATATGACCAGTTCTGGGAAGCCCAAGTTTAAGCTCAGCCATCTCTGCTGGACCAGAATTTGTAAAAGATGCCCATGAATAAGGCGGGATCTCTTGGAACCCAGAGCTGTATTTGGGTACCAGGAGAGGAGAACTCTATCTCCATCACGGTGGCGACGGAAGCTTGGACGGGGACACAGAGGGCTACAGGCACAGTGTGACAGAGGAGGGCAGCTCTGTCCCTAGAGCGCAGAAGCAGGAGAGAGCATGCCTGTCCCCCAAGAGCAGAGAGGAGCCTGCACCCAGGAGGCTCTGCTCATGCTGTTCCCACTGGACAGAGGGGGCTGCTGGTTCAGGCTTTTCTAGTCTGAAGGGAGGGGCGCTCAGCTACCCAGAGTGTAAAAGAAGGCTCTGCATAGGTGTGTCCCTTCACAGAGGACACTCCGGGAAGGGGAGGAACCAAATGAATAACTCCCTAGAGTAGGGGGTTGGCAGACTCTTCCTCAGCCAGGCGACAGAGGCCGACAGCGGGGTGGAGATGGCTCTGTCTCCCGACACACAATGTGAAAACAGTGGCCCCTGGCCAAGTCCCCTTCCCCTCTTTAGAAACCACTAACCCCTGTAACCTGGGCTCCTCACCATGCCCTGCCAGTGCCCACAGGCAGCCAGGTCTCAGAGCATCCTTCTTACCACCCCTATAAACTTCGGTTCCTGGTGTTCTCTGTAGACGTCCCGCAGACCAGTCAAGACCAGTCATGTGACCCATTGGTGGCTGATGTGTAAGAGGCTTTCCAGGGTGGTTCGTGCCAGGATGGCCAACTGGACCTTGGAGAACCCAGACTGAAATGCTAATGACGGTTTGCATGGGGGAGGGGAGGAAAGAGCTAGTCTTAGAAATTTCTCAGTCACCACCAAAGCCCACCTCCCGTTTGCATAAATGCAGGCTGATGACGGCTGTGGGTTGGGCATATATTTTTCCCATGTCATGCTTGCAAATTCAATATTCTTCCCTTTTCCACTGTCATGTATGTCCAAGTGTGTATGTATAAGTGTGTAGACTAAAGGACAACCTTGGTTATTGCTTTTTAGGTTTCTTCTATCTTTTATTATTACTATTATTATTATTATTATTATTTGTAACAGAGTCTTTTACTATCCTGGAACTTGCCAAGTGTCCTAGGCTGGCCAGCCAGAAAACCTCTGGGACTTGCCTGTTTTCATCTCTCCAGGGCTGAGATTGTAAATACACATCAGCACACTCGTTCCCCCCCACCCCGAGTTCTAGGGTTCTAGGACTTGAAGTCAGGTCCTCATGTTTGTGTCCCAAGTGCCATCTCTTTCTGCACTCTTCTTGTGTTTTAAAGAGGAATTATAACATGCCTCCAAACTCCCTCATACCTAACGAACCCACCCTGGGTGCCTGGCCCTACTCCCCAGGTGGTTAGGCCTTATCACTCAGGGCTTGAAGGGCCCAACCAACCTTGAACGTAAGTGATTTGTGGGAACTGTTCCCACAGTGTACTGTAGAGGGCTTCACTCCGCATCCGGCTCAGGAACAGACTGAAGGGATGTGATGGGGCAGAGGCACTCGTGAGATGGTTTATTTGCCGTTTACACTGGTTTTAGTATTGGCGTTACAGAAGAAAGCTGCAGAACAAAGAGAGGAAGACCCAATGGCTTTGAGCTGCCCTGTTGTGTGTGCGCCCCCAGGAGAGGCGATGGCTCAACATGAGAGTGCCGTGGCCGGTGGCAATGCAGTGCCTGCTTCCCTGGGCTACCGAGAAGGGTTCTGGAACATTCTCTCTTCTCGTGTGTCTTAAGATGTGAGCCAGACGGAGACCCCTAGGAGGTGTTCTGTATGTGAGTACCAGGGAGAAAGAGGCTAAAGTTGGGGTTTTAGGACACCCTGTGACCACACCTAACAGTCACCACGTGAGCAGGCAGTGGTTGGTGGCTGGAGAGCTGCATTTTCTGAGCTGCCCCCACACGTGTGCTTTGCTGTCATTTCAATTGGGAAGTTTGTTTGTTTGTTTATTTATTTATTTATTCCCATTGATCTTTGTACATCCAGGGCAACAGAAACATCCAACAGTTCATTTGGAGATTTTTCTTTTTCTTTTCTTTTTTTTTGCACACTCATTCCTCCTAGAACATAAAGTGAACTTAAGAAGTTGGAACCATGCCGTTTATTAGCTGCTTATAAAAGTGAGCAAGAAGTAGCTTGTTTTTTTCTGAAAGTCTAAAATAAACAAGCGGAGAGAAGCGTTTTTCTTCTACAATATTCAGCGAACATAAGAAAAGGTCCGTAGAAATGCACACAAAAAGTGAAAAAAAAAGATATTACAAGGCATTACCAATATTTTATAAGGAAGCTTGAACTCTATTTACATACATAAATACAATTGAGTTTATTGATACAGCTTCTTCTGAAGGAGGAAATAAAAGACAAATGATCAGCTTTGCCAATACTGACCCAGCGGAAAGAGGGAAGGCACCCCAACAAATTACCAACCGACTAACCCCCCCAATAAATGTATACTATACAGTAAACAAAGGCATTTTGTTCAGGTGTGGAAAAAATATATTCTGAGATTGTTGTCAACTCATTTATTTTCATGTATAAAAGACCCTAAACATCTCATGCCCCCCCAACAAAATTAAAAGAACAACAACAACCAAAAAAAAAAAAAACCTATCAAAACCAAAAAAATACCTAGGACTGAATGTCCCAGGGAAAAGGTATTTCAAGAAAAAAAAATCTGCAATCATCAATTGCAGGCCGTTGGAGGGAAACCGCTTCTCTCTTGCCCGTCTGAGCATGCTTGTTGCACAGGTGCTTGGGCAGAAGTGCAGCCACTCAGCCATCGGCTGTGAGTTTCAGAGTTTTCCGCTGCTGGATCTGGACAGCAAGCAGATCCAGGGCGGCTGGCAACACCTGTTCTGTTGGAAGAAACATGTGAGCAAGAGAATGGCTGACTCACCCTGTTCTTTATGCAAATGGAGTACTGGATCACCTGTGTTCTGGAATACTTGGTATGGGGTAGTGTGAGTGTGTGTGTGTGTGTGTGTGTGTGTGTGTGTGTGTGTGTGTGTGTGTGTAATGCTTCCTTAGAAAGCATGCAGGAGGGAGGAGGTGGGTTTTGGAGGAGGGAGGAGAAAAGAGAGAAGAGATATTGGAGAACACAGAGGGTGAGAAAAACAGAAGGAACTGAAGTATGTGTTAAAATCATAAGGAGGGGCTGGAAGAAGCAGTAGAAATGGCTTATTCCAGCTTTCTTTTCCTGGACCAGTACCCCACTTATCTCGGAATTGGCTTAGGGTCTTACTAAAGACAGTGAAGGAATCCACCCTGATGTACCTGAAGGCAATGAACACAATTTCTCAGGAGAAGAGTATGTGCCGTGTGGAATCTTATCTCCAAGACAAAGAGTGCTGGTCTGCTTTTTTATTTCTTTATTTCTTTTTCGCTGAAATGACTAAATTCTGTGTATGCTGGTAAGGATTTAGGAAGCACTGAACGGCTAACCAGGCCATCTGTAACAACAACAACAAAATTAGAAGCCTTGATGCACGGTTTCCGGGGCAAAGATTCCAAGTGTGAGGTTATCTGGTCCCTCTCATAGGGCTGGAGTACCTTCAGGTATCAGAATGAATACGAGAAAATACAAATCTTCCTCCTTTGTCTTTCCCTAGGATTTTCTTAGACCAGATATGACAACCTATGTTAAGAAGAACATCTGCTTTTGGAGACATAAACTAATGGTCCTTTCCAGAAATTAAGATTTTATTTTTCTGACAGCTGATGACAGCACAGCTGAACAGTGTGCCATGGGCCAGCAGTGCAGCTGAATGGGGGAAGCTATGCCCGCTGTGAAAATCTAATCGCCTCTCTCTGAGATCTCCTGTAGCTCTTCTCCAGACAGGGACAGCCTGCTAGCACAGGCTAGCCTCTTACCAAAGTGCTGTGCTCCGTGGAAAACAAAGAATCAATATATATATATTTATATTTATAGATATAGATATAGATAATTCAAAAACAAGTTGTATTTTTAAATAAGTCCAGCTGTTTTCGCTGCCTGCAGCCAAAGATCTAATCTGAATGCTTAAATTTATAAAATAATAATAAAAAAATCCAACACTGTTCTGAAGTCCTGCTTTCAAACGCTCCTCGGAATTGACCTGACATCATTTCAACTAATTTAAGAGGTACATTAAAAACAACCAAATCAGTTTGAACACACAAATGTCAAAATCAGCAGTTGGGGTTTATACATTGTTGAACGACTGAATTTTGACCAAGTCCTCCACTATAACAAGATTGCCATTACATTTACAGTGACTGTGGTATCCATTTGAACCGTAGCATGGACTGCAGAGACACGAATCTTTCTTATCATGCTGATGCACAGAAAAAGTGCACAAACCCCCAAGGTTAGGGGCTCAGCCTGCTGGAAGCAGCTCAGAGAAGCTGGTGAGTGAGCAGCTTCCGGTAAGCATCCTGCATGGGTTGACAGGGTATCTCCCACAGCTGGCTCCTTTAGGCTTTTGGGGTACACTCTCTTAAAACTCAGCCACTGGGCCTCAAAGGCACTATTACCTCTTCTATTTGGATCTTTGGGGTGCAGCCACAAGTTTTGGTTTTTGTCAGTGAACAGGAACTAGCAGTGGAAGGCAATTAGAGTATCATATTCGCTGATTTGGGGTCCACCAGTTTACCTGAATGAGTTCCTATAAAGCATGCCTGAATCAGAAGGCCTTGGGGCAAGCATACCTCCAGGCCGAAATAAAATCCTCTTCAGAGCTATAATCACTGGCACCTCTCTGAACCCTCTGGGAGTTTTGCCTTTCTTTTTGAAGGGGAGGAGCCGAGTATGAGGCCCTTTGTTGAGCCTAGCAGAAAATTTTGTACTTCTGATCCTTGGAGTGACCTCCAGTGTCTAAAATCCGATCGAAAACATTGCTGCATTAGCTACCAACTTGTTTGAAAACCATAAAAGGGATTTAATGTAAACAGTATCTCTAGGTAACCAAGCCGCCACAACCCACCTTTCGCTTTTTTCTCCAGCCATCATCAATGCAATAACATTTAACTTTGGCTATTATAAAGGAAAATGTAGTACTTGATATTTTTTCTTAATATAAGTACATTTAAATAATTAAAAAAGTATCAACACATATGCAAATGTTCAAACATCGAGATACATAAATATCTAGGGATTTCTTTGTGGAAATACAGTAGTTAAAAAATGACCCAAAGTTGTAGCTGTATCTTAAAAAAAAAAGACAAAACAAACAAAAACCAAAAAACAAAAATCCCAGCTACAAGAAAGTCCAAAAGTTAAATAAATGTAGAGAAAGGAACCGTATTTCTTTCAGTTGGTCAAAGGAAGAAAGTAGCAAGCTCAGATCTATACATACTTAAAAATAACGACCACCCAGATGCAAACACACATTTTTTGCAATTGATAAGGTGCGGAAAAGTAACTCCGAAATAAGAAATAAATGCCAAACTGGATGAGCTATGTCTTCCCCGCCCCGAACCAAAAAAATTCCACTCTTTGGAATAAACAACGTGGTTAAAAAGTGAAGTCAAGGGTATAAAATCTTTCTTTTTATTCACAGCATTGCTAAATCAGAAGCATTCACAGTTTCCCTCCGGGAATCTTCCTGTTGGCCTCCAAGGCCCTCCTGGCGGGGGGTCTGTGCGTGGACGGCAGGTGCAGTCGGGCTCAGTCCCTCGAAGGCGCTCAGTAGGGCCGCCACACCGCCTCCTCCAGGCGCGCGGGTGGCATGTTGGTGGGCGAGTTGCTGTGGCTGCCCTCGGTCTCCACCACGTCGCTCTGGCTGGGGAGGCTGGGGTTGAGCAGTGCAGCGCCCGTGGACGCATTGGTGCAGGGCGGCAGGATGCGCGGGGGCGAGCGCTCGCCGCCCACCATGGAGAACTGGTAGGAGCCGGCGGAGGTGCCATAGTATAGGTGGTAGGAGGGCGAGCTGGTCTGGAAAGGCCCGGCCTGGGCCTGCGACGAGCCTGGATAGGGTGGCGGCAGGTAGGTGTGGTAGCGAGAAGCGGAGCTCATGGCTGACATGCCGATGCCGATGCCCGACGTGACGGGCGGCGAGTAGGTGAAGGCGCCTGGGTAGTGCATGCGCGGGTCGGAGATGGCCGGCAGCGTGGGGAATTGGCGCGGGTCGCCGAAGGCTGTCAGGTCCGGGGCCGCTGTGGGTGGGTGGAAGAGATGGCGTGAGTCTGTGGTCTGAGAGGCTAAGGCCTCCCTCTCTGCAGGAGTGCCGCCGCCCAGGGAATGCAGGACTGCCCAGAGTGTCCCTGCCCATGGAGGGGGACCACTGAGAGAGCTCCTGCCAGGGGAGGGGGGGGACCACGGAGAATGCTCTGCCCAGGACACACAGGACTGCCCAGAGCGCCCCTGCCCATGGATGGGGGGGGGGGTGGACAACGACACCGAGATGGATATTTATCCAGAGGGCTGTTGCTTCTTAAGAAATGGAGCTACCTGGCAAGAAGTGGATTTGGCCCAGCATGCTGTCATAAATAGTGTGGGAACACAGAGTGACCACAGACGTTTTGTAGGGAGTCGTACAGTGGCCTATGATATGTGTCATGACATGGCGTAGCATATGCATTTCGTAAGTACGGAAATGCCACACGCCTGGTAGTGCAATGTAACGCTTACAGTGTGCATACATGTTAGACTCCCAGGTTGGCAAACTGTAACCCATCGGTCAAAACTGACTGGAGGGGGCTTTGTGTGTCCTAGGAATTAAAAACAGGTTTTACTTTTTCGGATGGCTGTAAAACTGTTAAAACAAACACACACAGTTTTTTAATTTTTGAGACACAGCCTCAGCCTGTAGCATAGGGTGGCTCTGTGAATCCTTTAGTGGTGCCAAGCATCTCCCACTTCCCTTACATGACCACGACAACAGAGCTCTCAAAGCTTGCCCATGCCTCTCTGGCCCTTCGCTGAAAAAACAAGCCTATCTTCTATTTATATTAATATATTAATATTGATTAATATATTGGTAATATAATCAGTACATTGGCATAACAACATTATTATAGCAATATATAATGACAGAACATTACGGTAATTGAGGTAATGGATGCACGTCCATGTTACTAATAGAATATAAGTGTAACAGCGGTATTATGTCGTCGCACACAGTATTCAGGTTGGATGATAGAAAATTGCCATTTTTGTAGGCTCTGACCCCTTGGAAGGGGGCTAATTTCCTGTTATTTGACTTAATGCATGCTGTGGTAGTGATGGTGTTGGTGATTGGCATGTCACTTGTCTCCATGTTTGCCTTCTGACTGGTTCCACATCTTCCGTGGTGTACAGTGCACACACGATTTCATGTCTTTATCTAAGACTTTGCTTCACCGTTTTCTTTTTTCTTTTTGATTATGCTTATGCGTGTTTGGGCATGTGCGCGTGTGAATGTAGTGTCCACAGAAGCTGGAAGAGGGTGCCAAGTCCCGGGAGCTGGCATTACCCATGGTTGTGAGCCACCCTGCCTGGGAGCTGGGAATCAAAGTCAGGTCCTCTGAAAGAGCAGAGTGTGCTCTTACCCAGCCAGCCATCTCTCCAGCTGCAGCTTCACTAGTTAGTTTCATACAAATGGAGAGAAGAGCTTGTTGTACCAGCCTTTTGTGCATGCTGAGATCTCGTCAGAAATGACGAATCTTCTGTACAAGACTCATTTTGTGGGGAATGAATCCACACGTCTACAGACTGCCATTGGCTATCCTCCCGTGCTTCGCCGTGTCCCTCTGCACTTTGCACACTGCGTTTGGGGCACACCAGGGGCTGTGAGGACCAGCATAGCTTCCATTGCAGACACGAGGGGATGTGAGGGCCAGCATGGCTTCCCTTGCAGATCAGTTTACATTAGTGGCGCTGCTGGCATTTTTGCCTATTTCATTTCTAGTGGGTGCCTGGGTTCTGATTTATTCCTTGTGAATTGTCTGGCAGCATCTAAGTCCTTTACCCACTGGATGCCAGTGGTGCCCATGTTCCCACTGTGACCTCCAAAAATATCTCCAGACATTGTCAATAACCTGGGAATGGGTGTAGGGGTGCACATCTGCCCCTCCCCCGCTAAGAGCCCCCACTGTGAATAGTAGGGTGTTGTGGGTAGCTTGTGTCCCTTGGAAGGAGAGTTCTCATACCCGCCCCTCCTGAAGACACCAACAAAACAGCAGAGGCAAGAACTAAACACTCAGAATGTTAACTTCTCCAATGAACTTACAGAATAACTTTAAGCTCTGGGGCCTGTGGTCTGGGACTTTAGAGCTGAGCCTGCTAGGGAGAAACTTGAGGGGAGCTAGAGCGCTTGCCCTGAAAGGAAAGCCTCTGAAAGGATTAATCCGTTTGTGGAAGGCGCTGGCTGTGATCAACTTCCTTCTATTCCAAGCCTATTATTCCAGCGCGAGAGCTGCCGCTCTTGTTTCCCCCTCTCCCTCCCTCTCTCTCAATAATCTTTATTGCTGGAACACAGTTTTACAAAAGGAACTCTTGTGTACATTTGGGGTGAATGTGAGGGAAATAGACTCCTCATCAGAGAGGTAATTAGAGTTTATGGAAACAGCCAGAGACTGCAGCAAATCCCGCTACTAATGAGGAAACCAGGAGTCTGATTTTCAAACAAACACTCCTGTTAATGTTTTCAGAGCGAGTCAGACATGTGGGCAGGGAAAAGGCTGTAAGCTGACAGTGGTTCTGGGGCTGCCCTGGCTCGGCTGGCTGCCCTTTAGAGTCTTCTACAGCCAGGCCACACCTCATTCCACAGGGTTCATCCCTGCCCCCTCGCTGCGGCCATGTGGGAGCAGGCTCTATGTCACTTGTTTTGCTTACACAGAGAGCCGTGACATGTTTGAGAGTTAACAGGAAGCTTCCCTCCATATTTTCCTCCAGCTAGATTTACACAGCCTAGGGAGAAGCTGAGGCCGGAGGGAGGGCCTTAGACAAACACAATCAATTTGTTGTCATTCTGATGCAATACTCTGGACACAAACAAATGACTCTGCCCATTATCCCTCTTGCTTCATTTGCCCTGAGACAAAAAGGTGAATCCACTGGAAAAAATGAATGAAAGGTCACCCCGTTTCATAGCCATGCCTGAACACGCTCTGCCGGTCCGTTCCAGTTACACCACAGGGCAATGCGGGGATGGTACCAAGTTACTGGAATCCTGCGTGAGCCTGTGATTCGTCATGGACCCAGCAGAGGGGTGATGTTACCGCCTCAGCTGCTGGGGGCAGAGTAGCTGAAGATCTGAGATTACGGGTGCTCTCTTTCTACACAAGGTCAAGTTCTCCCCCCTCCCCGTCCTCCCTTCATCCCTCCCTGTCTCATTTTTCAGTTTGTAATCATTGTGGGGGGGAAGGGCCCTCTAGATATGCTCAGATTCAAATGCTTGTTTTCGTTTACAAATGTTATTTTCAGTTATGTAATGGGTGTATGTTGGTGCGTGCGCGTGCACACAAGAGCAGTGTACTTCTGGACACTGGAGGAAGAAGTCAGATACCCTGGAGCTGGAATTATGGGTAGCTGTAAGCCAGCTCATGTGGGGCCTGGGACCTGAACTCAGGTCTCCTGGAAGTGAAGCGGAGGCTCTTAACCACTGAGCCAGCTCTCGGGCTCTCCTTGTTTTCATTTTCCAATCTGGTTTGTCCCCGCTTCTTACAAACCAGCAGTCACAGAATCTGCCCATCATCACACTATGGCTCTTCTATCCTTCTGGCTGGCCTCCCCGACTTGAGGAGCTAAGGTGACTGTGCCCCCTCCCCAGGAGGAAGGTCTGAGGATTAGAAGGTTCAGGTGTTTTCACCGGATGGGTGCTAACTATCCACCCTGGTGAGCTGGTCTGGGCTCTCCAGCCTGACAGGGACAAAGCAGCCCACTCCAGGCCCCTCCCACTGCCCCCAAAGGATTAAACAACCTGAGCAGATAATGGCTGCCTTAAAAGGATCTTCTGCATGACTCAGATTAATGCTGCCTGTCGCCCAGGTTGGCAGCTAAACATTAATTAACAAAAAGAAAAAGAAGGGGGGAAAAAGAAAAGAAGAAAAAGAAAGTTAAACCTTCACGTGACAGCTCCTGCCAGACAAGGTGTGGAGTCTGTCTGCAAGGGACAGGGACAGACAGAGTGTACCGGAGAGGGAGGCCGGGTGGGGCTGGAAGTAGCCACGCCCACAGAGGGGTCAAGTTCCCAGAGCTGTGGGCCTGAAGCCTTCCCCTCATGGATCCCAGCCCTCTCCTGCCCCAGGTTTACCACAGCACTTCCTAAGCCTGCAAGGCCTGCACTCAGGGCTTCATTTCCAGAGGGAGCTTTGCCAAGCTGACGCTCACTCTCCCGCGCCTGTTCCCTGCCACTCATGAGAGCTTGTTTGTCATTCTCTGGTCTTCCCTACAGGGCAGCAGAGGTCACTTTTGGGTCCTGAAATGGCTTTTCTCTCCCTCACATTCCCGTGCCATAAGCACCCTTCCTTCTAGCTTGTGTTGTTGAAGTCCATATCATTAGGAACATAGTTGTGATGTGGTCCTGTCACTTATTTTAGCCGATGGTGGTGCTGGCTGATAGAGTACCCAGGCCATAATGAATGACTCCACACTCATGTGTATATGGGCAGTGTCGTCTGGACTTGATTAATAAAAAACAAGTTAAAAATGTTTAAAAGATATGGAGTTTTGAGGGAGATGCTACAGGGGAGCCAAGGAGAGGCATGGGCAAGCCGACATGACCAAATGTGTCCCATGCATGTCTGTAGTTCTCCAAGAGTAAATGGAAGGCAGCATTAAAAGCCAGTCTGGCATGTGATCATGTGATCGCTGGTCAGCCGGTGGAGCTGCTCCTAGGTGCACACTTGGGGTGGTGACCAAGCTGAAAGACTTATGCAATACACTTCAAGGAACAGACCTACACTGGGGACACTTCCAAGGAAAACACTAAGTGTTTTAGATGCAGGCTGTGGCCAGCGGACAGAGCAGCGTCACTGACAGGAATCTGGGAGAGCCGGCAGATGCTCCTGGAATCCAAGTGTCCCTGAGGGGACAGGCTTTTAGACACAGCCAGCTGAACAAATGCCATAATTCCCATGTTACCCTCTTAATTCCTTAGACCATCAGCACCCATGGTAATGTTGGCACGGATGACCTGCAGTCAGGTGAGAGCTGAGAGAGGAAGCTGGCTTTCATGGCTCAATCAAGCGCCAGGGGCGGGTGAAGTTCAAGGTGCTCACTGCCCCCGGTTGGCACAAGTGGTGACATTTTGTGCATGTTTGTGTGTGTGTTTAGTTATGGATACCCCTGTGTACAGGCACTTGTGCATGTGTGTGTACATATGTGTGCAGAGACCAGAGGCCGGCCTTGGGTTTTGTTCTTCAGCAGTGGTCTAACTCGTGTTTTGAGGCAGGGCATCTCCGTGGAGCTCTGTGATTAAACTGTTCTGGACACCTCCTTGCCGTCATGTCCCTAGTGCTAGGATTAGAAGCCTGTGACACCACACTTTGCTTTTATACCTGTGTTCTGGGGAGTCACACTTGGTCCCCATGTTTGCAAGGCAGAGGCTTTACCCAGAGAGTCCTGGAGACTTCTGATGCACATGCTGGGACATTTGCTACTGGCATCTTGAGGTCAAGGGCACGTTTACCTAATGTCTGGTGCATAGGACAGTTCCATCCCCAATAAAACATGATGCAGCCCAAATGCCAGCACCCCCGATACCATTGCTGGGGGGGGCGTTGAGTCGGGGGTGATTTGTGATGGAGACGCTGACCCTCTGGTGGAATCTTAAGCAATTGTGGTGGTTATCTGCAAACAGTCTTTCACAACATTGGAGGCGGCTGTCCTGACTCCTCTGCCTTTCTGCCTGCCCCCTGTTCTAATCTGCCTTTGAGAGCCCCAAAGCAAAACCTGCCCCTCCCCCACCACACATACAAGTGCATTGCAGGCCTCTTAAGGGTGAAGGGCTCTCAAGTATTTCACAGTTTGGTTCGTCTCCAATTTCAAAGCCCCAAACAGTAAGTTTCTTCTTTAGCCTCCAACAAAGGAGTTTTTTCCTGTAACTCTGATTTCCCTGCCCAGGAGCAAGGGTGAGTGCCAAGCCCCAAGGGCTCATAGGTTAAATGACTAATATTTAATGAGCTCGTATTAACAACAATTATGCTAACCATGACACCTGAGCTCTCCACCTTGTTCCTAACCCTCAGTCTGAACAGCCCTTAGCTGAGAATGTTTATCTTGGGACATATTTGTTCCCTATTCCGAAGTGTACCATTGTGCTGTACGCAGGAACCTGTGACAGTTCAGCACGGCTGGGGAGAACAGCCGTGGTCTAGAATTCAGCTGGAGGTGGATTCCTTTGCCAAAGGCACACAATCCTTAGGCCACTTTGCCTTTCCAGAATAATAACTCTTGGCCACCACTCTTCCCCAAAAGACACGAGCAAACCCTAAATACCGAAGAGAGACGGAGACACTTCTGTCTCCTCATTCTGTCTCCTCATTCGCTACCTCTTCTCATGTCAAGAACAGTCAGTGCTCGGCATGGCAACCCTGCAGAGGCTGCTGACTTTGTCTGTGAGCCCTGTTCTGCTGTGTATCCAACCCGCTCCTTCCCTTTCCTCCTGTACACTTCCAAACCTTCCCCTCCAGCCCCACTGCAGATACGTTCTCAAGCGGCTTACTTGAAAGTCGACTGGAGAGTTCCGCAGACAGGCTTGTCATGCCGCTGGCACGGCCAGGTGAGATGGGCGTTGCCGGGTGCACGGAAGAGGAGGTGATGGATCCCAGGTACTGGTAAGACTGATCATAGGACCATGGTGGGGATGGCTGGATCTGCCTCGCATCTGCGGAGAGACAGGGGTGTTGGTGACAGATGGAGTAGGGTAGCATTTTAAAATAAGGTCTTATAATGATAACTATTCACCATTATTTAAATGATTATACATGTATGCACATAGCTTGTTCACAGAATCCAAGTATTTGATGCCTCGGTGATATGGTGACTCCCCTTAAAGAGGAGCAGTTCATGTGGGATTTTAGATTTTTATTTCAAAGTGCTTCCTTCTAGACATGTTATACATTGCAGGTTATACTGGACTCTAGTAGTACTCAATGACTTTAGGGTCCAAACATGACCTAACCGCGCAGCAGGGCCGGAGGGGAGCAGAACCGACAGGCTGTCCTGCACCTCATGTTGCCCCAAGTGTCTTGCTCCAAAGTCCATGCACTCAAATATTTTCTGCAAGGCATGCTTACATTCTCACTGCACACACTTACCAAATGAACATATACTACTCAGGTGTTTTAAACACTTAAAAAGCAAACAAAAGAGGTTCTAGAACCATCACAAAGGCCTCCGGGGTGCGAGCTGTGGGTAGTACTCCACACCCCGCCGTGCAGACAGCCTAGCACCCCCTAGCCCCACGTCTGAAACGACACTAAGCATAAAGTGTTATGCCATGATTCATGCTCTGTCATGCTTTACTGTAGTGAGAAGAGTCAGGCTAGGCCTTTCTAAACTCGTAATTAAGCTGTGCAAACGTTGCATAATATTTCATAGCCTTTTAAAAATATGCTTTGGTAAAATGATCTTTACGATTCGAGCCCAAGTTATGTGTTTTCTTTGTTGTTGTTATTGTTGTTGTTTTATACACAGGTTGTAGATTCAGCATCATCTTACTTTCCACTGTGGTTCAGCGGGGACAGCACCGCATAGAACACGCCGAAGCCATCAGCCCATCAGCCCTCATTTCTTTCACCACAAACAAGGAACCTCTGTGGGTCTTTTGCCAGTGGTGGGCCAGCAGGTGGTGGACATGAGCCTCTCTGGGCAATTTTGGGTTGTTTTCAGTCTTTTGTTTGAGCCAAAAAAACCCAAAAAACAAAAACAAAAAAAAACCAACAAAGCAAAAAGCAAACTCCAACAACAAAAGAGGCGCGACAATGCAATGCTCTCTGTGTTTGTCTCTTCCCTTTGCTCTGACGGGGGTGGAAGTGGGGCCACCATGAACACTGTGGAAAGTCAGAATTGAGATAGCCATGTTGTTCGCTGCCTCGCAATAAAGAAAAAAATGAGCCCTAGGCCCCTCTGTTGGATCAAACCTTCATACTCCTCTCTGGAGTGAGATGATCTCTAAAAACCACCCGGTGGCTACAGGTCAGGATTCTGGCTCAAATAAGTCTGACTCAGAATTTCTCTGTTTAACTTATGTGCTGTGAGAGTCAGGGAAGAATCAAGTGGGGGATGTGAGTTGAGGCGTGGTACTTAAGATCCTACCTGGGTGGATTCTGGGAAGTGCTAGCGGGGGCGGGGGGGGATTCAGTGGGAGTTACCCAGTCAGGCTTTCCACAAAACCCAGGTGAGATGCTCGTTCTTGAGGGAGCTGTGTCGGGTAAGTCCATCCATCAAAGCAAACACAGCTGACTCAGCACGAGTTATGCGCCAGGCACATGATAATGTGGCCAGTCATGGTGGTGAAGAGGCGCAATGTGGCCCCCGGCGCTGGGACTTTCAGGGCAAAGCTTCCAAATGACATGCTTGGAAAGGCTCCTTCCTCATGCACTTGTCACCACACTGAGGATTTCTTCGTTCATCCATCCATCCATCCATCCATCCATCCATCCAACATTTGCATATTCATCGGCTGGTGAAATTATTCGCTGGTTCTGTCATTTATGTCTCCACAGTTTTGTCACTGGGACCCCTGGAGTAGGGCTCACTAGTAAATGGTTTTATGGTCTCTACCTTCTAAGAGTTCCAGCCACTGGAAGATGGAGAGGCCATAGAGACTGACTGCTAAATTACGTGCCTAATTTGGACTTGCAAATGGCTGCTTCCAAGCCAGAGGGAGAATGATGGTGATGTTTGTGCCGTGATTACATTCTGCACTAGGGAGGAGCAGAATGGGAGGACACTGCGCATACATCAAACAGATTTGGAGGTGAATTGTGCCTTTACCAGAAACTCGCTTCAGCAAATCTCATCTTCTTCTGTCTGTCAAGGGTAGTATCAAGGAAGAACCAAGCTACCGGAAAGGAGACATGTCACAATGTGTGGCCATTGTAAACGCTCAGTCAGCCTGATTGACTTCCACGATTGTATTGCTAAAGGAAATGCAGTCCCGAGGTGTAGCTGATGCTTGGTGGGAAAGGCAACGCCCACTTGCACTGGGGTGAGGCCCAGGCAATACTGCTTTGCTTGGGGTTGAGCATCTTGAGAAGAGCAAAGCTCTGGATATTAAATGGTGGGTGACCAGGCAATACTGCTTTGCTTGGGGTTGAGCATCTTGAGAAGAGCGAGGCTCTGGATATTAAATGGTGGGTGAGTAAGGAAGCTAGAATTCTGTGATAAAGAACATGCAGGAATTCAATATTTCAATCAATTCCTGCTTCTGTTTTTAAAAGTTCCCGATCAGAAAATCTAAACTTGGACCTCCTATATGTTGGTGGTTTCTGTATGCTCATGATTTCGATGAGAATACATGACCAAGGCCATTACAAACAACGATGAGAGGAGCTCCCTCTCTCATTCCTGAACCTCACCCCCTTCCATCTGAAATGGAGGTGAAAGACAAGGAAGAGGTAGGGAGACAGAGCAAAGGAGGTCGGCACACTTCACTCGGGAAAAGAGCGTGTGTAAGGCAACAACATCAGAATGTCTTTAGCGTCCGTCATGACCTATAAAATAATTCATACCAGAGTGGCCGCCTTCTCCCACTTTTAGCACCAAAGTGTAAAGAGCTGAAGAGTTACCATTCTTATCCTTAGAACAAGGAAAATGGAGACCTTTCTGGGTCTCCCAGGGAATTCTAACAGTAAAGCAGACCTCCACCCCAAAGTCTTGGGAGGAAGCGAGCACAAAAGACCACACCTAGGAGATAGAAGCTCATGGGAGCGTGTCGTGGGGACATCACAAGCTGCTGAAAGCTGAACAGAGACTGATTAGAGAACGCAAGTCTGCAGAGCTGTAGTCCTGCCCAGAAAGGATGTGTCTATGGTCCAGGAATCCCACTGGGTTCTCAGAGAATCCCATCTCACTGTAGACTATTGATGGAAGAGAGTTCACGGGAAGCTAAAGACCACAATAGCAGGGACCCGAGAGGGGTGACTCCTATAGTTACAGTAATTAACCCTAACCCAACCCCTGCCTGGATGATCACCAAGCCCAACAACTTGAGTTTGATCCTCAAGGTCCACATGGTGGGAGGAGAGAACCATTAGTTCATCCAAGTTGTTGGATGAACTCCATACATACACTCTGAGCTCCATACATACACTGTAGCATGTGCACGCACACACACTCACACATGCACACACCCACATGCACACACACTCACGCATGCACACACATATCCTACAAGTTGTCCTCTGACCTCTGTACATACACTATAGCATGTACACATACGCATGCGCATACACACACACACATATACACACACACACAGACGAGGGGGGGGCAAGCGAGAGAGAAGCTAAATAAATAAATAAATGTAATTTTTTTTAAAAAGTAGTAACATATAACAAGAATCAAATAACATTATTTGATTGTGGATTTAGTTTTTAAACACTAGAACAATCACTAAAGCAAATTTTAAAAGATTTCATTGATTGATTGATTGATTGACTTATTGGCTTTACGTGTATGGGTGTTTAGCTACATGCATATCTGTGTTCCTCGTACCTAAGGAGGTTAGAGGAGGGTGTCAGATTCCACTGGGACTGGAGTTAACAGACAGTCATTAGCCACTAGTGGGTGCTAGGAATCAAACCCGGGTCCACTGGAAGAGCAGCCAGTGCTTTCAGGCTCTGACCCATCTCTCGAGCCCCCCTAAAGCAATTTTTTAAAAGTATACTTGATATGTGAATAGATGAGCTCCAGTGAAATCATAAAATGCTCAGCCACGGCGAGAGGAGACATAAAAGCAGGGGGCAGGGCGACGAACCACGTGCAGCAGGCTAACAAGTGAAGCATGGCAGATAATAATCCAGGTCTATCTGTAAACAGGTGAGATGTGTGAATTGTCTGCATCCACCGCAGAAGCTGTCGAGCAAGCTACAAATAAAACTTAACTACCTGACGCATACAAATGGCTCATTTAAATACAGACTCAGGCGGGGGGGGGGGGGAAAGGGGTGGAGAGAAATTATGCTAACATCAATTCAAAGAGTGCCCAGCTTGCTGTATTAGTTTTATACAAAGCTAATTGAAGATGGAGATTTTCAAGGATAAGAGATGAGTTGCATGATGGTAATATGGCCAACTAATAATACGGATTCCTTAACAGGTGCCCAGTGAACACACTGTCAAGTCCTCAGGCGAAAACTAATTGAAATGCAAGGAAAAGCAGACAAATCCATCATTCTGGCTGGAGACCTCGGCATCCCTCCTCTATGCCGACCCACCATGCAAACAGAAGTCCGAACTCCGCCGACCTGGACAGTATCAACTTGATCTAACTAACATCTGTAGGCCATTCTTCTGAAGACCACACAGTGCACTCCCTGAGACAGACTACATTTTGGGGTCATAAAGTGCTGCTTGATCTTAAGGGCATAATCATACAAAATGTTATCTTAGGCCATAAGGACTTAAACTAAAATCAAACGACCCCTTCCCTGCAAACAAAAAACAAAAACCAGTAACAAAGATTATTGGGAAATCTTCAGAAATTTGGAAGTTACCTGTAAATGCCATGGGGACCAAATAAAAGATCTCAAAAATATTTATAATACTCGTCACTTAATGAAAATCAGAGCAAGCAAAGTTTAGGCGACAGAGTGGAAACAGCATTGGAGGAGAAATGTCTAGTGCAGGAGACATTTGAAAGGAAAGGCCCAGAATCAA